AGTGTCAATACTCTCGGACCTGAGGATTCTAAGTCTGCTTTCATGCTCTGGTCACTCAGACCACAGTTTTTTCCTCTTGAATTAATAAATAATCACTCAACTATCGTGGGTGCCTGTTAAGTGCCAGGGTCTCCACCTTGGGCACTGGAAATACAAGAGTGAACGAGACAGACAATAACTTATTTTGTAGTGGAGGAGAATGAAAAGACTCAAGTAAATGAATAAAAAGTAATTTCAGTTCATTATGAAGAACATAAAACACAGAGATGTGACAGAGTGAGGGGAAATTACAGTCCTGTGAGATGAAATTGTTAGAAAGGTGGTTTTTGAGTTGAAACGAGAGAGATGAGAGACGTGGCAGGCAGAGGGAAGGTGGCAAGGGCCTTGAGACAGGAGAGGCAGGTGCATCAGCTGTGCAGAGGGAGGGAGCCAGTGTAGCAGACAGCAGAGGCTGAGGAGCGGGTAAGAGATGCTGCTGGAGGCTGTGCAGGACTGGAGGGTCCCGCAAGAACTCTGCAGCTGAGGAGTGACTCGACCCCATCTGCTTTGTGGAAGCAGCAATCTGTATGCTGCAGTATGGTGAGCTCATCCTCCACCCCTATCCTTTTTGAAACTCCGGGCGTCTACTGCGTCTGGCTAGAACGCAGCCTGAGCCACGAGCGACCATGCGCTGAGTCTGAGAGTACAGCCCACCAGAATTCCTTTACCCTGTTCCGCGGGTCACCCGCTCGGACACTGCAGCCCTGTCCGATTGCTCTGAACGTTTCTCACCTGCCCCCCCTCCCTTTCTGTACCCATCCCCTCCCCTAGGGACCAGCCCGCCTCTGCACCTTGCTTTGCCTAGGGCTGATCTAGGCCGGGGACGCTGACGACTCCACCCAGCTTCGTGTTGGAAGACGGGCCTGTTTTGTGCCTGGCACTGTGCTTTATCCCGGTGCCTCAACAACCTGCAAAACACCCGGCACGCGTGTCCTGGTGGGACTTACGGCCCAGAGGCGGCGGCGCACACTTATTTATCTGTAAGTCTAACAAAATGTGGGGGGTGGAGGGCTCATCAGGAATGCCTTTAACCCCGAGGCATTCTGGATCTTCCAGGGCGATATTTGCATTTGTTTAAATGCAAACGTTGCGATTGCTGCAAACCTCTGTCGGGAGAACTCTAGGGAGGCCTCACTAAGGCCGGCGCCTAGCGCTACATCGAGTCCTCGGAGATCTCGTCCAGCCCCCGACGCTGACGCTCCCACTCCCGCGACACTAAAGAAACAAAAGCAAAGCCGCACAGCGCGATTCTCTCAGGAGTGGGGTTGGGGGGAGGGCGGTCCGCGGTCCGGAGGCGCCCGGGCTACTTCCCCGACGGCCTGCAGAGCGCTGGGCCGCCCGTGCGCCAGCGCAGGGTAGAGCTCTACACATGCGGAGCCACAGAGCAGCGACTCCACAGGCCGCCGGCAGTACTGCAGCACGGGGCGCTGGCGGGCTGGGCGGGGCGGGGCGGGGCGGGGCGGGGGCGACGTCCCGGCGGCCTCCCAAGGCTCTACCGACCGCGCATGACCGTTGCGCTGCTCGCAGCTCCTGGCCTAGCCCACCGCGGTATATACCGCGGCTCCGGAGGCGGCGGCGAAGGCCGTGGAAGCCAGCAGCGCTGGGGAAGGAGGCAGCGCCACAGGTAGGCACGAGGCGGCTGGGATCTGAGCCTAACCCCAGGCGCCCTCCGCCCCGACAACCTCCATCAATGGTTGCCCCAGTTACTCCCTTACAGTTGAGAAAAGCGTCTCAGAGACCGGCAGTAAGTTGCCCAATGCCACACAGCCGTTACAGATGAGTAATGGGACCGGGATTCGACTCTGCAGCCTCCACTCCCTGCGCCCCAGGACTGGGAGGATAGCTGAATTTGGGTATTCGTGCTTGGAGACTTTGGGCAAGGAGGCCTTTGTCCCACTTTAACAGATGAACAAACTAAAACTAAGGCTCAAACTTACTAGACATTTTTGAAATATTTCAAAATGTTCAAAAACAAAAAAGCCGCTTCCTTGGGTCTCCTGTTTATGCATGGCCTTTATGTGCCTGGAATTTACATGTCTTTGTCCTCACCCCTCCTCCTCAAACACTAGCACGAAGTTCCTGACCCGGCTGTTAGAGACCTGGCCCTTTTCCAAGGCAAAATGGGGTCAGGTACCTTTCTCTGAGACAGTGGCAGAATCTGAGTTAATGGCTCCCTAAATCCCAGGGTTTGTAAGCGCCTAGGATGATCTAAATCTACACTGCCCTTCCTTCTTTCTCAAACACCCCCAGCCTGTGCCCATCTCAGGGTCTTTGCCCATGCTCTTCCCTGTGTGTAAAGCTCTTTTCCATCCTCCTGTGCTGGGCCCTACTCATGGCTTAGAGTTCAGTTTCAGAGCCTCTTTCATTGAGCCTTTCATACCATCCTCTCTCTTGCTTTGCACTCCCTTCCACGTCACCCCACCCAGTTTTATTTCACCCCCGCCGGCCTCTAGCACTCCCTAATATTAATTATATATTCCATTAACTGTTTGAGATCTACAGCCCCCAACAAAATGAATGCTCCCAGAAAGCAGAGCCTTATCTTTTTCCTTACTCTATCCTCAGATGTAGCCTGAACCTGCACTAAATAGGCACTCAACAAATGTTTGTTGAATGAATAAGTAAGCTGCCAGCCCTTACACTCAATGCCTGGTCTTGTTCACATGTCTTCCCTCCTCTCTCCTATATGTTAGGCAATCATATCTGGGAGCTTGTATTAGTTTCTTAGGACTGCTATAACAAACAAATTTATTGTATCACAGTTCTGGAGGCTAGCAGTCTGCAGGGCCGGGGTCCTTCTGCAATCTATATGGAGGATGCTTTCTTGGTTTTTTTTTTTCAGCTCTGATAGCCCTAGGCATTCATTAGCTTGTGGCAGCATAACCCCAATCTTGGCTTGTCTTCACCTGGCCCTTTTCTCCCTGTGTGTCTCTGTTTTCATATGACCTTCTCCTCTGAATCTCTTCTCTTCTTTTAAGGATACCAATCTTATAGGATTAGGGCCCACCTAATGATGTCACCTTAACTACCTCTGCGAAGACCCTATTTCCAAATCAGGTTGCATTCACAGGTGTGAATTCCCATTTCCATTCACTGGGCTTTAATATCTTTTGAGGGGATATAACCCAACCTATAACAGAGGGTGATCCATGGAACACTGAAAAGGGATTTAGGCAAACTAAGCTGGAGGATGGGGAAGAAGACAGGAAGGGTAGCCCTAAGTATAGGAAACGTGCACTGGCTGACCGTCCAGAAATAACATTTCTGGGTGAACTCTCCTGCATCAAAAGACTTTTCGGGGGAAACACTACAACTTCAAGGGTTTCTACAGGAATGGCTTCTATCCCTCCCTGCTTGGCCCTTTTCCAGGCTGTAAACACCCCATTTCCAGACCCTCCACAAAGCATTGCACCTCACTGATTGGGCTCCTGAGAAATATAAATCTGTCAGAACTATGCTAAGCCTGGACCTGCTTTCTGCTGTTTAATGCTGACAATTGCTTGTGAGGTAGGTCCTATTCTTCACTGAATTTTACGGGAGAAACTGAGGTTCAGCCAGGTTAGGGAGCAAGCTCACAACTTGTGTGTGCTCGAAATGTATAACCAGCTCTAACTCCAGAGGCATTTCCAGGAGACCCAGAGGTACTCTTTTGTCAGTTCTCTGTGATTCAAGAGGGCAGAACTGTAATGCATGAGTGTATGTTACACGGAGAGGCAATGATTTGGGCTAAATTTCAAGAAAAATTTTTCTAACGCTTAAAATTAACAGTTTTTCTGATATGGCTCATTTTGCCACCAGAGATTTTCAGGCAGTGGCCATTTTAGATTCTCAATGCCCTTCCCAAACCCACCGCACTCTTGAGGGTGACTTTGAACTCTCTGCTCTATTCTCTCTGTTATGAACTGGACATAAATGTAATTTTCCGAGAAGAGCTCCACTAGCTTCTCTGAGCCCTAGGAGATAGAGAACCAGGAAGCGCCCTTATCAGCAATGACTACGGCAGCATAGCACACGGGTTAGACCTGGTGTCGGTGTTCCATCCCCGGGTTGTCATTCTCTCTGCCCAGCTCTTGTTATTTCAGTGGTGGGCATTTTTGTCCACTGCTGGTCCTGTGGCTGGCACTGTCATCCTGAACTCCACTTCTCCGTGTTGAAAAACTGTCCCAGCCCTGCATCTCCTTCCTGCATCTGGCCCATGTCCATGCACCCTGACCTCTGGCCTCCGACAGGAAGGTGTTGGAAACCAGCCTTGCTCCTTCCGGAGCCTTGAAATAAACTTTCGGCTGCTTTTCCTGAAGAAACTTCTCTCCTCTGCCATAATCTATTCTTAATAGGAAGAAATTGCATTTTGTAGGGAGCGGCATCCGAGTCACTGAGTAGGGGGACTCTAGCAATGCGGTCCACTTCTTTCCTTAGGGAGGGGTCTATTCTAGGTATATTTTCCTTCTGGAAGGTCGAAAGTGACCAGGGGAGAGTGGTTCCCCCCCCTCCACGGTACTGGAGTCCAAGAAGCAAGAGAAAATGGTGGCATTACGTAAGCTCACTCCATCTCCAGGTTCTCCCACAATCACTGTCTTGTCTGACCCTCGAAACAACCTACGTGGTAAATAAGGCTCTGGACTTCAGGTCTGATCTTCCCCCACCTTTAAAAGTGAAAATATTGAGACTCCGAGAGGTCAGAGGACTTCCTCGCCCAAGGTCGCGCAGGCTAGGTAAAGGAGTCAGGAGAGTTGGGATTCGAACCTGAGTCTTCAAGGTCATTTCGTTCACTGCTGCTTTCAAAAGAGAACGAATTTGGACGCTGGAGATCTGAGCTCCTTTTCTGCTCCTGGACTTTGAGCTCCACAAGGGCAGGGAGCAAAGACCCCCTCCGCTTGGACCCAGCGCGGGCACACAGCAGGGGCCCACCACCGCTCTGCTGGGCCAACAATGTAAGCGGAATCAGTTCTTTTGCAGGGAGGCTCCGGAGCTTGCGGACATCCAGGCCAGGCATGGGCATTGTGCGCAGTGGATGTGGACGCGTTCGGGCGAGCTCAGAGTCCAGGACCAGGGCTCGGCTGGGTCTTGGGCTCCGCGCCGCGCTGAAACCTGGTGAGGGCGGGCGCAGCTTTAGGGACCTCGGGCGCCAGCTGCGCTCCAGCCGAGCCTCTGTACGCACACTGCGCACGCGCGGCGCCGCCAGGCTCCGCCCCCCGAGTAGGGACCTACAGCGGGCGGCCGCGGAGGCGGCAGCGGTGGCCTGCGGCCGGCGGTGTAGACGCCCCTTCCCGGGACCCGGACCCGGCTCGGTGAGTTGCTGAGTGGGAGGACTAGGGTGCCGGGTCCGCGTGCGCGGGGCAGGCGGGGCCGGGCGGGGCCGGGGTGCGGAGGGGTGGTGCGGAGCCGTGCGGGGCAAGGACAGGACGAGGCCGCGCCGGGCAGGCAGCCGGGGCCGGGTGGTGCGGGGCTCGGCCCCGCGTGCCGGAGCCGCCGGCCGGCGTCTTGGCAGGAGGCCCCGGGGCAGACGGGTCTCGGCAGCGGGCCCCGGGATGGGTGCGGAAGAGAGGGCGGCGGCCTGGAGGGGAGGGGAGGGGGCGCCGGGCCGGGGGTGGGGGGAAGGACGCCCGGCAGGGGGCTCTCGCCGGGCCGGGGACAGGGAGTACGGACTTCGGGGTCCGGGGGTGGCGGCGGGTGCGCAGCCGGCGACCCCCGCTTGACCGCCTTTGTGCCGCGGCCGCGACCCTGTAGGCTCGCCCCGAATGCGCCGGGTCGCGACCCTAGGCGGCGGCGTCCGGGCTGCGGGACTGCCAGTGTGGAGCCGCCGAGCCCGGCCTCCTCCGCCCGCCCCCAGCGTTTTAAATGATGCATCTCCTGGGAGAGTTCCTACCGGTCGGCTCCGAGCAGGAAGTGTCGTCAGGAGGCCATTTTTAAAGCCTCCTGCGGGCCTCGGAGGTCAGCGTTGACGTGGTCCGGTTTTCAGTGGTTAGAAGAAACCCCTGCGACCCCTGGAAGGGGCCCGGACGACCCCTGGGGACGAGGCTGTAAACCCACTGTATTTGCGCCTTCCCTTCCTAGCAGCCTCGCTGTGAGACGTGGACGGCCTTGGATAACGTGTACCGTCGGTGTGTGTGCCAACAATAAACTTGAAAACCAGACTGGCATTGTCTTTCCTTGGGAGTTTTGGGGCATGTGCCCGGGGATGGTGAGGGTGTAAAGGGAGGATAAAGATGAAGGTGTGACTCGGTTCTAAATGCTGATGTCACTCTTTGTGGGATCTCCCCCATCTCAGCTGCCCTTTTATCTTGTTGCCTTGGGGTCCTTGGGCAGTTTGAGGCCAGGAAACCACGCAGGGTGCAAAAGAATGAAAATGCCTAAATCGGAAAGGGAAAGCCAAAAGAGAGAATGAAAGAAAACACTTAAATTCCTCTGTATATGTTGGTTATTCCGTGTATCCCGTGAAAATACGCTTGATTTTAAAAACTGGGATAATGAACAGTTGATCAACCTAACATGAAAAATTAGAAAGTGAAATACTGAGCACTGTGTCCTGATTAAAAACAAACGTCTACACAGCTCAACTGTTGTGTTGGATCCCTTAAACATTATCCCTTAAGCTTAGAATTGAAGTCACCAAGAGTGAGAAAACCGTGGTCTCCAGGAACAGGCAGTACTTCCTATAAAAGAGCAGAGAGAATCGGAATGTATTTCTTTATCTCTGTCTGAGTCAGGTATGCAAAGTTCATTCCAACCCCTGATGTGTGTGCACAGCAGGAGATACTGGCCCAGCAATTGGCAATTTAAAAACCAATATCCCAATATAGTCTATTTAGGTAGAATACAAATGTTTGGCTTTTTTAAGTTATATCGACGTTATCTTTAACCTAGGATGCATTTTTTAAATTTGTTTTTCTTTCTTAATCTTGGATCTAACATAGCCTTGTAAAATAACACTTTTGTAGGTATCCAGTTTTGTTGTGCTGTTAAACATTCATTGTAAGGTGCGTTGTGAAAACAGACAAAGGAGGGCATTATTTTATTTATTGGGCCTCCTCCCTGATTTTTAAAAATCTAGTAATAGCAATTAAAAAACACACATCTGTCTACTGGTCTATTTGCTTTAAAGGAAGGGGATCTGGACCAGTTTAAGAGGAAAAGAAAGAGCAAAGAACATTGTTATTGTCGCCAGGAAGGCTGATGTTTCTTTCATTCATTGACTCCATTCAGCCAGTGCTCATTGAGTGCCTTGTGTGACCAAGCCCTGTGCTGTTGACTGTGATAAACAGGGTCCTCACCGGTGATGTTTCTCAGTCTTGATTGTTCTCAAGCTGCCGGGCATAGACTACATTTTCTTTGTTCACATATTCAGACTTGGCCAGCTACAATCTCCATGTTCCATCCTGGGAGTGAAAGTGGCTAGAGCCCCCCAGATGGAGACATTCTCATCATAGGGTGGGGAGTGGGGAGGCATCAGAATCACCTGCGAAGAATTTAAGGCACAGGCCCTGAGCCCGCCCCAGGAAAAGAACAATCTGATTCATTCATTCACCTGAGTCCTGGGAAGCCTTTCTTCCCTTTTCTTTTAAGCTCCCTTGCTTGAGAAGCACTTTGGGGGCTCATTCCCCTTATTTTCTAGAAAAGTGCATGAAGAAACCAAGGCTGCACGGGCCCAACACTTAAACCCAAGTGTCTGGCTTCTGTTGCAGGGCCCTTTGTGCGCTGCCTCGCTGCCTCCCGGGGTTCTGAGCGTAGAAGCCTATGCCAGGGCCTGAGGTTGACACCGGCTGGGACTCGGTGCCTGAGAAGAGAAGGAAGAGCCCCTGGGACTCTCCGTGCTTTTGACTCGGTCAGCAGCTCAATGGCTTCGGGCAGGCAGTAAGAACGGTGCCCAACTATGACTGCAGCTCACAGCCCTCACACAGCAGGGTAGCAGAAAACACAGCGTTTAGTCTAGATGCCAGCTGACCAACTCCATGACCTCAGAACAGCCACAGTACCTCCAGATCTTACAAGAAGCAGGTAATTGCAGGTAATTGGTACTTTGAGGAGTAATGGATGTAATGTGTGAATCTGCCTTCTCACACACCCCTTCCACCTGACTTGGGCCACGGTGCTCCAGGATTGGCAACACAGCCAGCCACTGAGAGCATCCCCATCAGGTCACTAGTGTAGCATTTACCACTTTACTGAAACCACCCGTTCCCCTCTCTCCATCTCCTGATCACACTCCTTAGAGACAGCAGCCTGCGGCGGGTGTCGGGTAAACAGCCCTGGCTCATGCCCATTGTGCTCACACCATGCCAGGCGCATTTCAGTTTCCAAGAATCTGCAGAGTGGTTACTGCCCTTACACACTCCACAGACAGCATCAGTGATGATGTTTCCAAGGTCAAATGGCTAATAAGCAAGGGTAGGAGCCAGAGTCTCCCTGCCTGCTCACACCATTACAGTTCAAGGCAGTGGCCTTGCCTCCCCTCCAGGCACCCAAGGGTGGATTGGATTGGTATATAAAAGATTGCACAGGAGTGCTGATAATGACCCTGGCCATTCCCCCATATGCTCCTCTCTACCTGTAATGTCCGGTGGTGATTCTCAACCTTGGCTGCACATTAGAACCACCTGGGAAGCTTTTAAAACTCCCAAAGCCTTCCACCCAACACAGTGGAGCCCAGGCATCATTATTTTTAAAGCTCCCCAGGTAAATTCTCTGTGCAGGAGGGTGACTAAACATCATAGGGACCTCTTTAAATAAGTTTAACATCCTGAACATATTATGATAAGTTGATTACCTTAATTCAGCCAAGGTTAAGAATCACTGATTTAGAATTGTCTCAATTCTTCTTTGTTTAATTATAGTTTTTATTAAACTCTTGCTCCATTTCTTCTACAAAATTTTGATTTTAAGGCAAAAGTGGGGGGGGAGTACAAAGACACATTTGTCCTTCATTTTTATCACCTTTAGAGACCTGAAGTTACTAGGTGTGTTTAATAACATAGAATTTTGTAATATTGCTTTTGTAGTACTACCTTGTTTTTACCTTTTTTCAAAAATGCTAACAAGTGCATATTTGCCTCTTAAATTTTTTTCCATGTATAGAACTGTAAGTTTTAGACTTTAAAAACTCTAGCACTAAAAAAAAAAAAAAAAAAAACTCTAGCACTAGTCATATTCTTTCTTTAGAAATGTTGTCTCTTATTTAAACTATTAAAAAAAAGCTATAATAATAACTTCCTTTGTTCTCTGGTGTAGCTCCAGTTCACATGCTCAGCAGTGTCATTCAGTCCCAAGGTAACTCCCTTTGTAGACTGGAGGGTGGGAGAGAAGATCCTCACCTCCAGCCAGAGCACTCAGCCAGAGAGACCTTTATCTCATTAGGCTCGTTTGTTAAACTAAGATTCTGCTTCTCTGGGATTACTGGACTCTTCTACATTGGAAGGAATCTTAAACAGAAATATGTTGACTTATTTGTTGTCAAAACATGTAGTTTGCCTGCCGAGCATAAGGCTACCTGCTAGCTGCATTATACCATTTCCTCACATCAGCCATGTAAATCAGGCATTATTCCCGTTTTACAAGTGAGGAAACTCAGGCTCAAAGAGGTTGAGTCCAGAATGACACGGCTTCTAAGTCAAAAACCTAGGTTTCAAACCTTGCTCCTGAGACCCCAAGGTGATTGCTCTTTTCACTCTATTGCACTTTTCATCTGGAAAGCTGAGGAATCAGAACAGGGGCTCTTGGTCAGCCTTCTTGCCTCTTTGTGTGCTGCAAGCATTACACTTGGTTTCAGAAGGAAATCTAAGATCTCAAAGGTGTACATTTGTCAGCAACATTTGGAAGTATTTTTTGCCATCAAGATGGCCATCAGTTTTCAGTTCAGTCATTTCAAGTGCAAGATAGATTAGCAAAAAGAAAATACTTCATTGATGTTTTTCATTGTTTAGATCTATTTACCATTCAGTTCAATTCTGATTCTTCGTAATTGTCTGGAAAAGTTCTTGCTGAGTGAGGCAGCCGTTTCTTCTTAAATACTAACTTAACTGGAGAAATGTTGGCAGTTTACATACCTAATGTTGCATTGTTTCACTGATCAGGTATCACTCGTTTACATGCTAATGGTCATTTAGGGGTAGAATGTTTTAAAATTTTGGTTACTAGGAAACGTTAGTTAGACTAGCCTTTGCTATCTGTGGCTAAATAGACAAAAGGAGCAGAGAGAATTTTGGAGTGCATGTGCCACCAGACTGAGTGCTTTGCATGCATGATCCTAGTTTGCTTCTCCTGATTACCCTCTAAGTTTGATGATATTAAAGCCTATTTCCTTTCCTGACAATAAGTAGAGAGAAATCACTTGCTTAAGGACCCAGCAAATAAGGGGCAGAATCAGAGTTTAAACGACAAACCTGCCAACTCCATTTTCCCTCTGCTCCTCATGGGTGGAGCAGCTATACATTCCTGCCCTAGCCGTGGATATGGTAGAAGCCACAATGAAAAGATTTCTGGAAGAGCTTCCTAAGTTTGCTTCAATGTCCAAAAGATACAGTCAGTCAACTAAAATTTGCTGAGTTTGCTGGGCATCTCTCATGAACAAAAGCTGTATGTGATGATCCATGTAGCATGCACATGATTTAATTGTCCAGCCACTTTTTTTAAACTTTTCTCATTAACATCTGGTGTGGGGACACATTCATTTGCTACAGGGATTCACAGTTCAACTGGGCTTGGAGAGGAAAAGGTCGTTCGGTAACTATCAATAGATTATATGTAAACCTAAATTGTAATGAGCACTCTTGTAGTTAAAGCAGCTTTTCCATGGTGATTATAATCACCTGTTGGCCCCTCTGCCACTAAGGCAAGGTGGATGGTTTGGCCCTAGAGGTAAATTGTCTTTTAGGCTGTACAGCCAAGCAACTATAATTAAAATCATAAAATGAGAGTCACTGTGTAAAAAGCAATTCCCAGGCAGCAAAGAAGCCTGTATTTTAGCCCCTTGGACTATTTGTGTGCTAGGCATTATTTCTTCTATTTTCTTCATAAAAAAGGGAGAAGAATACTCTTAATAGTTTCATGTGTAAGTAACTTATATAAGCACTTATAGTCACACTGTCCCATTTAATCCTCACGACAACCTTGTGAGGTAGGTGCTGTTATTGTCTGGTTTACAGGTGAGGATTCAGACGGTTTGCTCCAGGTCAGACATCTAGAAGGCAATGGGACTGGGATCTGAAACCCTGTAATCTGACTCCGTGATCTGTAGCTTTAAACACTATTTTCCTGCTTATTGCTCTTCTGATTCTGTTGAGCACTTGATGTTTTCGGTATTTAGAAGTCAAATGCTTCCTTTTTAATAAAAACTTACGCAACCTTCATGATTTTTATAGCCCTAAATGTCACTGGTTTCCAACAAACTGTTTTTCTCCATCTGTCCCCATGATAAATTTTTAAGAAACCAGGCCAGGTGAGCTCAGAGGCAGAAGGAAAACCCACCAGTAGTGGATGCTGCCCTTAGGCTTTTTCCCCAGAAAAGACAAGACTCAGTCTAGAGGAAGCACACTTGTCACACATTGTGCCCCTCCTCTCTGTGTGTGGAAGCCGCCTTTGTCTGATGCTGGAGATAATTCTGCGTTAAAAAGCTCACTTTTTGCTGTTTAAAAGCAGACAACTTAACATTAAGTAGCTATTTTATTATTGTGTCCAGAGTTAATAATATTAAGTATTTTCTGTGTTTTCGAGAACCTTCCTAAATGAACTTTAAAAAATGTACGTCTCTAGTTCTAGGAGGTCAGATGCAGAGGTTTTGTAACAGGTGTTGTGAGTGTGGAAGGTAGGTGATCACCGACACTGGTGTTAATCCTGATTGATTAGTGCCCCCAGCACCTGGCACACACACGGCCCTTTATCTACAGTGTTTCATGTAATCCTTGGTCATCAGTCCACTGGACAATCTGCCAAGAGGACCCAGCTTCACAGGTGGTTGTACATGAATGTGAACCAGGGAGAGAAAGGTGTATGGAAGGAACAAGGTCTTGGGAGCCCATTTACTCAGGTGTGCTTAGTGTAGCCTCAGGAGTGTCCAAGTATAAATGCCAACATCAAAGCCATCTGAGTTCTTCTGTGCCACTGCATCCATTTACTGCTGTCTTGGGGTGCTACATCTGAGATCTTTTTCACCCACAACTAGCTCCACATGTTGCAGTGGCCAAAGAGACCTTTGTCTGCTTGTTTTGAAGAAGCCTGACGTCTTTGTCACCTGGACGGAGGGAAGTAGCAAGGTAGAAACATGCGTTATTTTGAGAATGGTTTAAAAGCCAAGAAGGCACTTTCAAACAGGTGACGTAATTGGGTCATGGCCTAGTGTCTTGCCTCCCCATTAAACTGCATTTGCTAATCACAGCCTCATGCTTCATATTGACACTTGCTTCTGTGGATTCCTAATTCAAAATAACTGCTGAGATGGTTTTGCAGAAGCACCACCAGGAGGCTTCTGCATTACTGAGGCACCAAGCGGGCTTGGTTAGTTCTCTAGAGAGAACTCTCCTCCAGCAGGATGCTCTCCTCTTCTTGCTAAGGTATGTGATTTTATCGTTCAGTCTGAGATTTCAAGTCTTCAGTTCCAGGAGGAATGACACCTCCAAGTTTTAAAAGGATTTGGAGAGAAAATGGCAAAACTGCCTTTTGTGATTTTTTTTTTTAAAGAGTTGGTAAGCAGGTTGTACCAGGCAAGTAAGTTACTTTCTTTTCTTTCCTCCCCCTCTTTTTCCCTCCCTCCCTCTTTCCCTTCTTACCTCTTCTTCTCTTGCTTCTTTTCTCTTCTTCTTCTTCCTCTTCTCTTCTTCTCCCTCAGGATTATGAGGCTGGTAGATCAGACATGTACATATCAGCTGATACGCACCTCTTGTGAACAGAATTGAGACAGGAAGGGAGCAGGTTAATGACTGGTCTATCAGGGATTAAGTTGTTTGTAGCTCCAAGGTCAGGATATAAGGAAGTTACAAGGAGGTTGGTTTCAGTTTTATTTAAGGGTAAATTCTGGCCAGTAATAACTATGTGAAAATAAAATTAGCTGCCTGAAGAGAGAAGGAGTTTGGCTCATGGTAGTATTAGAGCATCAACTGCATGACCAACTGATGAAGATGTTTTAAAGGATTGAAATGTTGCTGGAAGTTTCAACCAGTGATTTCTGATGCTGGCTTTTCATCAGAATTATATGGAGTCCTTTTACAAACCATAAATGTCTCTTCTCCTTCCCTCTCCCACTAAGATTCATGAGCTTTGGGATGAAGCCCAAGAATGTCTATTTTAGCTCTGATTCTGCAGCTCCTCCAGATTCAGGAACCACTGGACCAGATCCCCTTAAAGCTTCTTTTCAGCCTCTGCATTCCTTGGGCCAGTGGTTTTCTTAGGCTCTGGCTGCAGCCATTGCTTCTTCTATTTTAGCAGGACGGAGATGCCAACTTGAACATGTTGACAATAGTAGCATTTTTAGATGATAAAAAGTCTGCAACTTCAGGGCTAAGCATTCATCTATGTGAGCACAGATGAGTGAGCAGATACAAATGGGTGGCTGGCTTGAGGTCACTTCATTAGTGCAGAAGTTCTGGGTATCACTTCTGTCTCCTTTCACTAAAGCCAGTTTACAAATCCAGAAAGTGAAGTGCGTCAGCGTCTCCCAGTGACTCATTTGAAAGCTCTGCCTGCTGTATATGTACCAGGAGTACAAAGGAAAATGACTGTCCTTGTCTTTGCCCATGCCTGTCAGTTTGCAGTTTGAGGCATCCACGTGTCCTGTCCTGTGCACAGTCCCCCTGCATAGGTGTGTGTTTGAACATTGAGGGGATAGGTTTGCACCTTGCAACCCCACAGGCCTCTGCCCGCTTGGTGTGTATTACATACACACTTGGGGTGGGGCAAGTCTGATTGTGTCCCTAGGTGCTTGTGATTGCATGCTGGGAGTTGTTTTTGAAAGGAGGCAACCGTCTTTTGCAAAAGCAAAATAGGAAAAGATACTACTGCAAAATAAAATAAAGATTGTCATCAATGTGGTACGTTCTTACGGTGCTTTCCAAAAATGTTTTTAAAGGCAGGTTGTATGCTAGATCTGGATACGCAATAATTGTTTCTCTCCACCCCACAGCAAGACCTTCTGCTCCCCCAGGTCGGCCTTTCAGACTTACTTTGTACAGCTCTTGGCCTGTTAGCAGGGTGCCAGAAGGAAGCTGCTAATTCCCATTCGTATCGCTGCCCATCGTTGAACAAGCACTTACTGAGGCCTCTGTGCGCCTCTTGACATTCAGGGAAGTGTTTTAAAATTTTAAAAGTGTTGTCTTGTATTCTTTAGCGTTTTAGTCGTCATGGCAGGACTGTGGAAGAGGTTGGATAAGTATCCGTAATTCTTATTGCCAGATGAAAAAACTGAGGCTCAACAGGTTGAAAGTGGTTTTTTTAAGGTCATAAAAGAAAGGCTTTTAGCAGGTCCCAAACTAGGACTGTTTAGTTCTGTGTATTCTGAAAAAAGAATGCATAGTTACAAATAATTACCTATTTTTATGTAAAAATCACTGCATTACGCATATTGTGGTATTGGCTCTAGAAAACAGGAGCTGCATTCCAGGCCGCCTTCCTCCCTCCCCTGTGTCCTTGCTGCCATGGTTTCACCCTCTGAGACTCCGGTCCCTGTAGCAGCCGGAGGCAGTGGCTGGAATATAGATCAGATCATGTCATGTTCTGTTGCTGCTCCAGTCTCTCCCCGGGTCTCCTCCTCACGTGGGGAGAAGCCACATCCTTATGATGCTGCACCATGGATCTTCCCCTGACCAGTACCCTCCGCCCTTTCTTGCTCATTGTCCCCCAGCCTCAGCCTCCTTGCAGTTACTCAAGTGCTCCAGGCCCACTTCCCACAGAGCTTCCCCCTCCCTCAGCTTGAAACGCCCTCCTCCCAGGCTGCCCCCGAGGTCTCTGCTCCAACATCAGCTTCTCTTGAGGCCTTTCCTGACTCTCCACGCCCCAGCCCTACAACTTCATCACATAGTTACGCCCTGTCCCCCTTGCCTGGCTTTATGGTTTGTTTTCCCCAGCCACTTGCCACCATCTGCCAAATAAATATACAGTTTGTCTCCCCTCTCTGTACCATTGTGAGGGGAGGGACGGACTTGCTTCTGGTCACTGCCCTGTAGCACCTAGAACAGTACCTGACACCTGATAGATGCTCAGTAAGATGTTGAAGGAATAAGTATTTGTCTACCTAGTATTGTCAGGATAGTATTGTCTTCTTACCACTTGTGAAAGCAAATGGGGCACATGAGAGAGAGAGTTGGGATCCACCCCATAACATAGAAACAAATGGACACCTGAGCCGGAGCCCTGGGTCTACCACTGGTTAACTTGTGCGTTTAGAAACTAAAATGCCAGCCTCCTAAGGTTTTAGTGAGGCTTTTATGAAATTATACCTGTGAAGTTGCTAGAATGCTCTCAGTGACCCTTAAAAATAACTCACTCAGCAAAGGCTATTCTGAATGACTGCCATGATTACCCCAGTATATCTGTGTTTATGGTTGGCCTAAAGTAATGACTTTTAGAGGGGCGGAGTTTGAAAATGTTTTCAGTTTAGGCTGGTTATTTGCCAGTTCTGTTGTACTGTGTGTCACTGTGTTCCAAGATAGTAGGTCAAGATTTAGCATAAAATCCCCAAGATCACTGAAATATTAGGGTAAATTTGGAAATACGTTAGCTAAACCTTAAGTTCATGTATTAATGATGCTTTGTGATATCTTTTTTTCCCCTTTAGTGTTGCCTGGAATATCAGAGAATTGGAAGCAGTCATATTTTGGGATCATGACCTACTCTGGTGGTTTGTGAATAAAGATAATATGTTCCTGGGAAGCCAGCTACAAAGTATACTGAAGGATGCTTCCTAAGAGTTTTATCATGTCTTTCTGGATTTCAGTGGCCTCTTTTTAGAAATGCAAATGAAGAAGATGAAGGATAGTGGACAGCAGTTATGGACTACACAAGTGGATGACGGACACAGTTCCTCGACCATGTCGCCCAAACAGCCTAATGCTAATCGAGCGACTCGCCCAGATAGACAAGAAGCTCAGACTCTTTTGTATCAAGTCTCTGAGGCAGAGGCTGCCATGATGACCGTTGCTACATGCGTAAAGTGTAAAAGTGTGTACAAGATTCCGCTTCAGGATCTGAAAAAGGATACTGGCCAAAGCCAAAAGGAGGACAAATATGTTTGCTTCAAATGCAGCCTAGGTGTGGCCCCTCCCCATTTCCATTTTGTGAATAATCACAGTGCTACTCACATAGGAAATAAACCAGAAACCATCTCAAGTTCTGTCAGTAACAAATTTAGGGTAAGGAACTTTAAGCCAGGCAAATACTATTGTGATAAATGTCGATTTTCCACGAAGGACCCTCTGCAATACAAAAAGCACACACTTCAACATGAAGAGATTAAATTCATTTGTTCTCACTGCAGCTACATTTCCTACACTAAAGGGGAGTTTCAGAGGCACTTGGTGAAACACACAGGCATTTTCCCTTATCAATGTGAGTATTGTGACTATGGTGCTATTAGAAATGACTACATTGTCAAACACAGGAAGAGAGTCCACGAGAAGGCTGGTGGAAAACGGCTGCCCAAAACCATTGCCAAGCTGGAGCCAAAAAGAATCAGTGCCTCCAAGCAAAACCCAGAGCTTTTAAAAGCTTCCAGTCCAAGGACTGCGTTTCAAAATAACTTGTCAGATCAGCTTTCAGCGTTCTCCCTCCATTCAAATAAAGACAGAATGCACAACATAATGTTATTACCTGAATCAAAGGAGTACCAAAAAGATGTCGTGTGCATTCCAAATAAAGTGACGCTGTCAGAGCCCAATGAAGTCAACCTGTTTGAGAACAAAAGTGTGGAGGTGGAAGTGTTATCCCCTGCAAAGGAGCCTGTTCAGCCGGGAATGCCATTAACGGTTGTGGCACCAGCGGAACTGATCATCCCTGCAAACTGTTTAGCCCAGTTGATAGATGTGAAGGTTGTCAATGGAACACAGCAGCTTGTGCTGAAACTGTTTCCTCTGGAAGAAAGTAATTGCCTTGCCACTGGTGGGGGTGATGGAGGTAATTCTGAACATGTGACTAAAGAGAAAGATTCAGGCGAACAGGAAAAAATGGCTTCTGCAGAACAAACAAAGTCACTGATGATCGAAGGGAATGTTGGAAAACTTGCAGGCATCAATAATCTTCAATCATCAGTTCAGAAACAACTTAAAAACGTGAAGTGGGTAAGGTCTTATGACTTCTTCACCTCAAATTCTAGCGTGTGCAGTGGTGGAGGATCCTTTCTCAACCCTGATAGAGTTGAGGGTTTGCAGAAAAAAGGTTATACATATCCACAAAGAACTGCTCTTCCTTCCATTGCCTTAAAAGGTCATTCTCCATCATCTCTAATAAAAAATGGTATTTTAAGTGGTCTTGGAACTACGTCAAACTCTTTTCCATATAAAGCTGCCTTTTCTTTTACTGAAGATAGAAGAAATTTACACAGTGACTCACAGCAGTTATTTCCTCTTGCTGCATCGCCTGCAACCATTTCCTTCTCTGGAGAAAAGGACTCACTGCCCCTAAGTAAAAAGGACGTGGAATCTAGAAATGAGATCAGTTTTCCTGTAAAAATGGTTCCCCCTAATAGGAAGCTGAAAGATAACCAGACACAGGAACACAAGGCAGTTTCAAATACTGGCCAGATTTCCTCTCAACATAAAAGTGAGTATTTACACATAAACGTAACGGGAGAAGATGGAGTCAGACCTCAACAGTCTGGGGATAAACCTTTGGATTTAAAGAATTCTGTAAAGGCTAATGACTCCTTCGAAGGCCCAGTCATCTCATCAGTGTTTTCTCTGAGCTCTGGATCTGAAAACGTCCCTGAGGGCGTTAAGTGGAATAGTTCAACGTCCAAAATAAAGTCAATTGAACTCTTGCGCAGAAAGATAGCCCAGTTAATTGAATCCTGTGGCAAGCCTTCATCTTTGGCTGCAAGTAATGCACATCATCGTTCTGTAGGGAAGGCACCTAAGGTCACTTCCAAAGCTGCCTCTGAAGGTATTCAGGAAATTAACGTGTCATTTACCAGCACTGGCTATTCTGCGGGTACTCTCCCGAAACCTCAGGATGACGTTGGTATTAATGGACAGCTTACTCAACAGCAGATATATCCGCATCTTGTAGAAGGCAGCAGTGGGAAAAGCGAGAGCGGAGTAGCCAGGAAGCCACATTTGGCTCCTCCAGTATTGATCCCGAAGGGGGCTGTGCTGAGGGTTCTTAATTCCTCTGAGAATTCCCACGTTATAGAGGCTACATGTGAAGCACCTGTCAGCATCCCCTGCAGTGAGACACAGTTAATAAAACCCATTCCGTTCTGCCCAGTGAAACAGACAGACTTGGACTTACAGTCTTCGACGAGTGAAAGTGGCCCAGTAGACATGTCCCAGAATCATGATCTATCTCTTTGGGCTAAATCAAGAAAAGAGAGTGCAAATTGTAGCACCATGCTTAAAAAAACTGGACTCCTGCACGGACAGCAAGGAAGCGGTGAAATAAGTAAGCAAGGGAAACTGTTTTCCAGAAGTCTTCCTGTAAGTAAAAATAAAACCAAACAAGTCAGCTCATCCAAGAAGAAAAGCAAAATTCAGGCTGATCCCAGCCGCTGTTTCAAGGATCCTTCCATTTTTCAGGTTGCAAGACAACTTCGACTGATAGCAGCTAAACCAGACCAGTTGATCAAATGCCCCCGTCGGAACCAGCCTGTCATCGTGTTAAACCATCCTGATGTCGACTCACCAGAAGTATCCAATGTGATGAAGGTAATAAACAAGTACAAAGGCAACGTCCTCAAAGTGGTCCTATCAGAGAGGACTAGGTGTCAGTTAGGCATCAGGCGGCATCATGTCCGGCTGACCTACCAGAACGTGGAGGAAGCCAATCAGATAAAAAGGCAAATGATGTTGAAAATGAAACTTAAAAAAGTTCATAAAAACAACTACCAGGTGGTGGATTCCTTGCCCGATGACTCATCACAGTGTATATTTAAGTGCTGGTTTTGTGGACGGCTCTACGAAGACCAGGAAGAGTGGATGAGTCATGGCCAACGGCATTTAATAGAAGCAACTAGAGATTGGGATGTTCTTTCTTCCAAGGGCAAATAAGTGAAAAATTGCTCTTGGAAGAAAATTGTTTTTCTTACTTTTAATTGATTCTGGTTTGGTTTGTTTGGTTTTGTGTCCCTCCCTGACTCTGTAGGATAATACTGCAGGGATAGGAGGTTGGTTCAGTCTTCAGGTCTTCCTGGGAATGTGGAGAGCCTGGCGTCTGAGCCTGGTGACTGGACATCAGAAGGTGTCTGTGGCCCCCGAGGAAGTGCACACAAATTCACGTGTGTGCATTTGTCTGGGGCGAAGGGAAACTTTGAACAGATTTTCAGTGGGATTTGAGACTTCCCTTTGGTCAGCAACCTTTTTCTGCATAGATAAAAATCATTTTAATCCATTCGGAGGGGCAAGTTTAGAATGTTTTACACATGCTCTTTATATAACAAAATGCTACTGAACAATTAAACCCAGGTCTTGGTGTACACATCCACTTTTTTTTTTTTTTGCATTAACTCATCTCCTGAATATTTGGTACATAATGGAAAGTATATTTTCTACTTTGTTAGTTATCTTAAGTTTGGTTATAGAAAAGTGTCCCTTTTAAATCCCTCACCCACTCTGCAGTGTTGCTAAGTGCTCTCTGTAGCACAGAGAGTTGGGCTTTTGTTGACCCTTTTAAAGAATAATTCCAAAGGTTGGCCTGAATTTACTACAACAGCAGGTGTTGTTAGGGGAAGAAAGGAACATTTTCAGGCTTTTGCTTTCTTTTTAAATACCTTGATTTATGACAGCTGGGGAGGGAATGTGCCTTTTGGGGGGGAAAAAAAAGGAGAAGAAAGGGTCACAGAGGGAGAATATCTAAAATTATCTCCTGTTTGCCCTTACCACTCTCACAAAAGTCAAGTAAGTCATCAATTTAAAATGTGAATGAACAGGCATCTTTCAACAGAGATAAAGTTTGGGGAGACAAATCAAGATAGATAGGATTGTGACGAAAGTTGTAGCTTTAATGAGACTCTCAGTTTTCATTTGGGAACTCATCGCAGACCACGGGTGGAACTTGCACACTTTTCTTTCTTCCTTCATCACCAGTGGATCACAGACACTGTTCCCCGCCTCTGCCAGGTCTTATCCTGCTCTCCCTTGGTGGGTTTTCTGAACAGGCCCTCCTGTGAAATGAGATAGTTTCCCTGCTCACCTGTCCCTTTCCCTTGCTTGAGGCCCCTTAAGGTTTTCCCTGATGAAAATACTAAAAACAGGCAAGAATCAACAAAATGAACACCTCCCACCACCTCTGTTAAGCTTATAGGAACACTGTCCCTGGTTTTCATCAGTGCTACCAACCTGCTTCTAATTTATCTCAGCCACAGTCAGGCTTTCCCTGTTGCTCACCTTCCCTGGGAAGCAGCTCCGAGAACACTCCAGCTACCCCTCCACCAGCAGGAGTCAGGACTGGTGCTGGTCTCCACAGCACCTTCATGTGCACTAGAAAAAAGCCCACCCTCTGCACCATTGCGGCTGCTTGGGCAGATAGATGGCTTCACAAAAGCAGCTCAGGCTGGATTCTAGGCCTCCCTTGCCCACCCAGCGGGGAACCGACCATAACGCAGAGCGCACACAGCACAGCTACAAGGCAGCCCCGACTCACGTGTTTTCCTCCCTTTTAAAGACTCCTTCCTTAGGGAATTGAGGGCAGCGAATGAAACTGGGGGCTGTTACTAAATCTGAGAAAGGCGTGAGTGAGATTTCTGTTGTGTTGGGTAGTCAGTTAAGAGACTTCCTGATTTTTCTTTCCACGTGGGAAAGTCTTAGATTATCCTCTGATACATCAGATTGTAATTCTTTGTAGTTGGTTCTCATTACAGATATTCAGCATGGCTTGTGTATAGTTTAATACATGATCATTAAGTTGATTAATTGGTTTTTATTGAAATTTAAAACTTGGGTTTTTTTATATGTGTATATATATATATGTGTACACATATATTTTTTACCATATGAAAACTTGCAGTAGCTAATTTTCTGATTTCCTATTTTATAATGAAGTTATGTGGGCTGGAAAAATATAAAACATTTTATATTCTAGAAATAATTTATTTTGGAAGTACATTTTTATAATGGTCTGATCTCATTTTTAGAAAATGAAAGCACAGTAAGTGATGGGTCTGATTTATATGAACAAATGGGAGTAGAAACCCCGGTGGATCATTGCAGTACAGTATTTAGTCCCGGTGCATTTCTAGATGGTGCTTTTTGGGAAATGGATTGTGTGTACCGCTTCAGTACATAAAGGAGAGCATTCTTAAGTTTTATCCATGCACAGATCTGTTATTCACTCCCCACCCCAGCCCCCATCATGAAAGAAGGCTCTTAAGGTGTTGAGAGGCGAAGAAAAGGCTGTGCTTTATTATTTTTCTCCTTCTATACCTCACTGCTTAGTAGCATCTTTCCTGAAAGGCTAGACCATGACCTTTCAGGAAAGATAACCATGAATCAGGTCAGAGTGTTAAGTGTCAACATGAAACATTTACACTTTGCAGCATCAACTGTTTTTCAAGTGTTACCTAAAACTCAGCTTATGTACTTGTACAGAGGAAAATTTTGTGAGTAGAATATGTAGCTAGGCTTTTTGAGATTTCCAGAGCTACAGTACTTTGTAAGGAATTCAGAGGGCTCCTGGAAGTCATAAAAAAAAAAATGAGAAAGCAAAAAATGGCTGTCTTCCCTATATAAAGAACTTTAGAAAATAGCTTGTTAACATGTAGCTTAATGTCATGAAACGAACAAAATTGGAGAAGGTAGGGGCAGAACTGTGTTGAGTATTTGTCTACTCTTTCTTACCTTGATTTTGAAGGGTCTCTACTCAGTAAATGTTACTCATAGTACTTACTAAAATCATTTCTAACTTATTTTTTAAAATAGGTTTTCTTTGGGGGATAAGAAATGAGACAACATTGTTATATTTATGATATGACAGTGAATTTTTTTTTTAAAAGTATACTCAAAATAGATTCTGTTTTACTCAAGTTTTTATCCCCAGTCCAAAACACTTTGTGAGCCCCACTCATGGGCCAAGTGCTCTTGGTTAAGCTAAACTGAACACAATGTATTAACCCTCAAAAGTTCCATCCCTCTTTCTTAAGCCACCCCAGAAAATGAAGACGTGATGCCACTCAGCCTTTGGAATAATTTTTGAATCTGTTAACGTCAGTATGAGCAGAAAACAAAACATTGCATAACATGTTTTAAGCATTATTAAAAAGTCCTGCATTAACAGTTTGTGTGTCTGCTGCTCTGATTTTGAAACACGTATGTATATAGATAGAGAAGTTGGCATAAATTTTGTTAAATAAAGCAACTATAAAATTTTCTCTGTTCTTTGTCATTTCAAATGTTAAGCAAGTTGGCTATTAATTACACAGCCTGTCTTGTGTGATATATTTCTGAACCACATAAAGGCATCATTCTACATAATACAGGCGCTTTGAATTCCATAAAGGTATATTTTGAATTTGATGCACTGCTGGTTAACTAAGCATACCCTGAAATGAGGCCAGGTAACTTTGGTTTGCTTTGGCTTACATTCACAAGAGATGAGATGCTGGTTTGGGCAGCAGTGGCAGTTTTCATGCCATGGTCAGTGTCATCAGAGAATGTGTGTGGGTCCTGCCCTCCATGTGTAGCCTCTCAACTAAGTGGGGCTTGGGTGGAAGAGTTTCCAAGTAGTCAGTGAGCCTGCTGGGCCATTTGAGTGTAATTGCATGGCTAATGCCATCTATCCAAATACCATTGATTGTTTAAATCTGATTCTACACATACTTCAGAAGAAAGAGTATGAGGATATTTGGAGAGGGGCATTTAGTCCCTCATCTCATTCCCAGCACCCAAGGAGTCCAAAAAAGAAGAGCCTTAGACTTCAGTTGAATATTGGCAAACCCTAAGGAAAAGATAAAGAGGAGATGATAGGAATTGCTGAAATTCACCAATTTGGCTTATTTAGTATCTGAGTTGAGATGAGTCATCCTCTAATTCTATAGATCTAGTCTAACAACGTGTCACCTTTGGCTAGTTATTTAGGGGAGTAGCAATCAGAGAAGGCAGCAGAAGCCTGAAGGGGGATTTGTATCGGCCTGGACTTCAGGGCTGGCTATAGTGTGACTAGAATAGGGGAGGGGCAGAAACTGACTTCAAGGCCAAAGAGTTGGGAAATAGCAGTCACTAATCCACCTTTTATCGTTAAGAAAACTTAAGCTCGGAAAGGTTAACAACACCTGATTCACCAGGTTTACATGAAGATGAGTAAAGTAACGGATAGGACCGTGTTTTGGCAGGAAGCGCTGATACCCTTTGTATCAGCTTGATACAAAGGGTATCTGTAAAGCTCTTTGCTTTACAGTATATAGAGCCTTTTCTTGCCACAGGTGAGGCTCAGCATGCATTGCTTTCCTGAGGTTCCAACGTGTATCAGGCATATTCATTGGGATGAGACACCGTATTTGGAGATAGTCTTAGAGCAGTGCTGTCCAAGAGAAATAATATCCATATATGTAATCTTGACTTCCTACTAGCCACATTTAAAAGAGTAAAAAGAGCAGATGAGATCAAATGTTTTATTTGACCCAATACGTCTAAAATACTATTTAAGCATTTTTCAATCTCAACATAAAATCTATTGATATTTTCTCTAAAAACAGAGTGTGTATATAATATATATATATTCTATATACACACTTTTTTAAAGTCTTCAGAAATCCGGTATCTATTTTAAACTTAAAGCATGTTTCAATTCTGATGCTAAATTTTCAGTTAAAATGAGATGTAGTCCTACCAAAACACTTAAGTTGTGTTCAGTGGAAAGAATTTACACTGCCTCAGTTTTTTTAATTAAATTAGAAATTCAGGGAATTCCCTGGCGGTCCAGTGGTTAGGATTCTGCGCTTCTACTGCAGGGGGGAATGGGTTCAATCCCAGGTCGGGGAACTAAGATCCCACAAGCTGCGTGGTGAGGCCCCCCCAAAAATTTTTTTAATAAATTAAAAATTCAGTTCTTCAGTCACCCTAGCCACATTTCCAAGTGTTCATTACCCATATGTGCCTAGTGTTTATTGAATAGGACAGGACAAGGGAAAACATACTGTATTGTAAATATTAGCCTACTTGTCTGGTTTTCTTGATCAGAAGGATCGGGTTTCATTTATGTGTCTCTAAAACTAGGGCAGGACTTCCCTGGTGGCGCAGTGGTTAAGAATCCGCCTGCCAATGCAGGGGACACAGGTTCCATCCCTGGTCTGGGAAGATCCCACACGCCACAGAGCAACTAAGCCCGTGTGCCACAACTACTGAGCCTGCGCTCTAGAGCTCGTGAGCCACAACTACTGAGCCCACATGCCACAACTACTGAAGCCCGCACACCTAGAGCCTGTGCTCGGCAACAAGAGAAGCCACCGCAATGAGAAACCCGCACACTGCAACTACAGAAAGCCCGTGCACAGGAACAAAGACCAAATGCAGCAATCAATCAATCAATCTATAAAATAAATAAAACTAGGGTAGGCTAGGCTAGGTTTCACTCGCTTTTAGGGAATGCCAGTTCTGTGCCAGGCTCTGTATTAACGCCCAGCAAGCAGTTTGATTTCTAGATCTATCTATACCTTAAAGAAATGGTTGCACATGTGACTTTTTGAGGTTATTATTTACTTTGCAACCTTAGTTGGTCAACCAAACAAACGTTTATTTCTCATTCACACTGTATCCACGGTCTGTCAGGGACCCAGTCTGCTGGAGGGGCCTCTCTTGCAGCTGCACCATCTGAACCACTTGGGCTTCTCCATCACCATGACAAGGAAAAAACAGGAGAGGGTCTTGCATGGGTGGAAAACAAGGCACAACACTTCCCCTCATAACCCACTGCCCAGAAGTGGTCACACAACCTTCCAAAGGGGCTATGCAGCCCCACTATGCACAGAAGAAAACAACAGCCCGTCAACCACTGATGATTTCTGACCCACTGGATTGTAGGGTGAGTGCTGGAGGCGTGTGAAGGGCAGCTGCTTATGCTGGTGGTTGTGAAATGGTAACAGTCTGCTAAGAGCTGGTGAAGGTATGGAGAAACAGGAACCTCAACATACTATTGGGCAATATCTAAACTTGAAAAAGCAGTGTATTGCTTTTGTCTGCATTTCCCTGATCCCTAGTGAGCTAGCATACTTTTGCAGATGTCTATTGGACATTTTCATTTTCCATGTACGAACTGCTGGTATTCCTTACCATTGAACTATTTATTTTAAACTTTTAAAAGAAAATATAGACACTCCTAAAAATCCATAAAGAAAAAAAAATGGTTTCCTTTAGGTTTGGTGCTTCTTGTGCTTTTAGAAATCCTTCCTTACCTTGAAGTCAAAAAGATAGTCTATCCTACCTTGAGATCAAAAAGATAATAAATTTAATATTAAAAATAAACTTCCATACAATAGTGGACATAATAATAAAATACAAGCTGTCAGTTATAGAGTTTGCAAAAATCTTTTTCAAAAGGATCTAGGTCCAATTTTTTTAATATGAAACAATACCTGAATCCTATTAGATTCATATACTCAGAAAAGTCAGTTCCAGGTGAATTACTAACTCAGTTGTCCTAACATCCATTATTGGGAGTCTATGCTTGTCTCCCTGCGTGTAACACTCCCTCCATATATGCAGGTTCCATATCTGTGTGTTTCTATGGCGGGGTCTCTGTGCTGCTGCATTACACTGTTTCTTGTGATCTTCAAAGTTAATTCTAATGAGACGGTTTACCATTGACAGGGGTATATACAAAATGAGAAGACTCTTCCTGGAAGATATTCTAAGGCTATTCTTGGCTCTTTGCTATTTCATGTGCATTTTAAAGTCAGCCCACCAATCCCTGTCGAGATTTTGACTGGAAAAGCATGGATCTTACAGATGCATTTGAGGAAGATTGGCATCAGTGGTAACATGTGACTACCATTTAGTCTGATAATTGGTTTGAAAATGTAATAGAAATAAAGTTGTGCCGGACAATAACGTTTTATCATTTATTCTCTTTCTTTTGGAGAAAAGTTCTCAGTCACAGTAACAATAAGAACTATAGTTTGCATAATCAGCCATGAAGGAGGAAGAAAGAAAGAGAATTCTAAGAGGTTAGCAAAATTGCCAAGTGCAAATTCAATATTTTAAAAATCAGTTGGGTTCCTATACACCAGCCATGGAAGTAGCTCTAATAGGAACGCTCCCCTCGCCTCTTCTATTCAACAGTCTAAGAAAAGTCCTAACCAACGTAATAAGAAACTAAAAATTAAGATTGAGATCCTTGTATTTTCTACGTAAACAATAGATTGAAGCTTAAAAGAAAGACGTGGGAAGTGACAAAAGTTCTTTAGAGTTTCAACATTCCATTTAAAACATAATTTTTGCCTTAGGTTTTTGGAAGGTACATTTTATCAGCTTAAGGCAATTCCCTTCTAACCATAGGGTTTTTTTCCAAAACTAAATTTATATAACATGTTTGAGTTAATTTTTTCTTTAAAATCCTAATGTCGTGTATTATGACATTTTTCTCATGTTAAATCTTCCTCGTATCCCTGGGATTCTATTTACATGTATATACTGCTGAGTTTACAGATTTAATATTAGAAGCATTATATGAGTGACACTGGTCTGTAATTTCCTCTACAATTACTGTCCTTATACCATTTTTACTCTTATAGAATGGGTTGTGTCACTTTCCCTATTTCTCCATTTGATGCAAATTGTCTCAGAGGAGAGAGATCAGTTGGTCCTTGAAGTGTTGAGCCATCTCACCAGTAAAAACATCTTGGACAGGCATCTTTAGCAGAGAAGGAAAACATGGATGGGAGAGGAGAAGTTTGGAAAGTCTCAATACTGACTTGATGTCTGTAATGATTATACACGTTTTCAGGTTTTCCATTTCTTATTAAGTTGACTGTGCTACTCCTTTCTGTTTAATTCCATATTCCTAGAAAAACGTAAACAGTAGTCATGTCCTTTTGATGTTTAAATGCAAGTAGAATGATGCATCTTATATTATTACATGGGACACACAAATCCATGTGCATTCCCCATTTACGGAATGATTTAACAGAGGTGGTAAAGTCAATCACTTGAGAAGGTGTGCATTAAATTGTTCTAAAAAGACTTCATTCAGTTCATGAATGGAGCCCATAAAACCTCAAAAAACAAGGTTTTATTCATCCTGGCCATGCTTGAGGACATGTCTTTATATGGGTTAAGAACAGAGCTAGAAAGGAAATGGTGCTTTTCAGGGAATGAAACTTCACCAAGTTGTAGGGGACAGTCACTGTGCTGCTGTTGTTAAAGTGTTCATGTCT